CCCCAAAACCCCAAAACCCCAAAACCCCAAAACCCCTAAATTATATCTTTTAATTGAAATTGGTTAATAAAAGCTCAGATTAGATATGAGAAGCCTTCCAAAAAGACCAGTCTTGAACATGGTACCTCTGTGACTTTTCTGCTCCTACCAAAGTTATCGCAAAGCACTTACGATCTTCTGTGTTGTGAAAATAGTTGTTATATTGTCTGACAGCTCTAATGTTAGTAAAATCTAGATTGGCTAAATGCTCCTCCTTTGACTTGTACAAATACTAGAGTTTAATAATAATTCTTACAGGAAATAGTGGGTAGGTGCGCCTTTTAGCAACATCTTTCCAATTCAAGCATGAGAACCAGGGATGTTCTTTGATATCACTTGCTCCATTTGTATTCCCTAATCTCTTTTCAGGATCTTTTTGGAGCAATCTAAGAATCAAATCCTGAGCTTCTTTTGAAAGCTCTTCTCCTAACTCCACAGGATTCTCAAGGATATTTTTAAACAATGTATCTTTATCATGATCATAGAAGGGAGGAATCCCTTCTAGCATTTCATACAGTAAAACTCCAAGTAAGTACCAGTCAACATTCTTGCCATGACCAGTTTTATTGATCATCTCTGGAGCTAGATAAGCATAAGATCCTCAGAAACTTTTGGCGATTTCTTCCTTCTCAATCAGTCCTTCTTTGGAGAGACCAAAGTCTGTCAGCTTTCAGTGGCCTAGTCCATCGAGGACTATGTTCTCTGGCTTAAGGTCCCTGAAGATGATGCCTCTGGAATGGAGATCTTCAAGTGCAAGGACTATTTCAGCCAGATAGAGCCTTGCTCTATCTTCGCTGAAATATTCCTCTGCCTCTAGATAATCACCAAGGTCTCCTCCAGGACAGTAGTCCATGACGAGGAATAGCCTATCTTCTGTCTGGAAGGCATACTGTAGGCTGACAATAAAGGGATGATTTGATATGCTCATTACGTTTCTCTCAGTGAGTGCATATCTTGTAAGATTCTTTCCAATAATTCTATCCTTATTTAAGTATCTTCATAGCATAAAGTTTGCCAGAGGTTCTATTTTTCCACCTAAAGGGTTAAACCAGAGATACAGTACCAGATATACTTCTCCAAAACTCCCAGTGCCTAAGAGCTTTATGACAGAGAAACTTTTTGGTCCAACTTTTTGAGCCTTATCTTTGCAGGTTTCTTGAAGATTTATTTGTTTTCTTTTAGGGACAGGAACATCCACTTTTGTTCAAGGAACTATTTCAGCTTGCTTAATGCCTTCACTCTCATCCTCCTCAGATTGATTCGACTGGAACTTGAATTCCTCCTGTTGAGACTCTTCAAACCCTGATGTAGAAGAAGCTTCAGAAGAGGGTGGCTCTAGAACAGACCAGTTTTCATCTCATTTTGGAGGTAACTTAGTGTTAAAATATTTACGAAGTCCTTTAAAAATTCCTTCCAAGTTCTTTTCCTGAACTTTATGCACACTAATATTCACAGTCTTAAGCTTCTTCGGAGGTTCCTCAGCAGAAGTTTCGGATTCCTGTTGCTTGACCAAGTAAGATAGCTTGCGTTCAACTAGCAGGTCATAAGGGGTTTTCCCTTTATGATCTCTGGTGTTAATGGAAGCATTATTTGACAAAAGGAATTTTATCATGCTAAAGTTAAGAGATTCTATAGCAACATGTAAAGGAGTTTGCCCTTCATGTGATATTTTGTTCAGGTCTGTGGAAGGGGCTCTATCTAGTATGTAGTTCATAAGCAACACGAATCCTAGTTGGGAAATATAGTGAAGTAGAGTCCAGCCTCTGTCCAACTTGTTTTGAAGTTTGATTATATTTTTCAATTCTTCATCATCATATTGCTTGAGGAATGCTAAAATTTGAGCCGAGCTAACTCCAGATTTATTCAAAAGGCTAAAAATATTGTGATGAGAATGTTCATGATGAAGTAGTCCATTTTCATTGTGTTCGAAGTCTAAATATTTAATTTCCTCTTGAGTTCCTGACTCTACTGATCTCTCAATTTCTCACTTAAAGTCACTACTCTCTCAACTGCCACATGTAATATTCTTCACCTCGTTAGTCGACCCAGGTGCTTGACTTTGATTTATACTAACATAATTCCTAGTTTTTTTCAGCTGCTCTCTTAGCTTAGAATTTCTTTCATTGGAATTACTCTCAACTTGATTTTCTGTTCACACAGCTGTGGACTTAACAGTCACCAAATGATTATGGTTTGGATTTTGAGCATCTGCACTGTGTCTTACTAGATCAAGTTTATACAACTTAGACCTATTCTTAGTAGTCACAGATCCCTTAATAGCTCCTCTGGTCGACTCTGAGTCAACTAGAGAGACAGGAACAGTGCTGAGCTGGTTGTGCATCCCTGAAAGATTTAATGTAGGAAGTATAGAGAAATCAGTTCGATTCCTATTCACCTTCTTAGTTGCTAATTCTGACGAGGTTTTGCTAGTGGTGACATGCTCCAACCCGATGGACTTATGATTAGCAATGTTATTTTTACTCTTGCGCTTCTGAGAAGATGCTTTCAGATTCTTAAAATGAGCGATTGATTTCATAAATCTTTGATTGCTACTCTTTTTCTTAGACAAAGAGATTTGCTTCTTTTTATAAGCAAAATTTCCTGATGAAACTGCTCTTGATAATCCTTTACTATTCTTAAGCAAGGATCTCCCAGAGTTCTTCAAATTACTACTTCCAGAGTTTGTACGATATCTTGTAAGAACTGGTGAATTTTGAGATTTGTTGTTAGAAATTTCTAAATAGATTTAGTAAGCCTGGAGATATTTCATCAGGTGCACAGTATGATCTGAAAAACTTACTAGCATAATATCCTTTCCGATTAGATGCTTTAGCCTCCTTAGATTTTTCAGAGAACTTCTTCCTCCTCTGTTTCACCCTAGTTGAAAAATCGAGAGTTCCAAATTTAACCCCTGCATAATTTGGGATGAGAATATTTGTTTTGTTGTTTATCTTGTTTTCTGATGCCTAAAGTTTACTAAGAAGTATCCTTATTGAGCTTTACCTTCTGTACTCCAATTGTCTTCCTCTTTACTCCTCAGACCAAGCCCTGATGAGATCTCTCTCTTATATTCTTTCCTTTACTCACTTTTCTATCTGCCATATTAAATTCTACAGCAAAAAATTAGTAATCTTTTCAGCCCTACCTTGATCTCCAGGGGTTTTGGGGTTTTGGGGTTTTGGGGTTTTGGGG